TTGTAAACGTAGTTTTTGGGCAACACCAGACTATATTCACTCAATATACCACCAGCCTATTGGATTGCGGAACTCCTGAATACGGGCCTGTGAGCATTTCAGATTAAAGAATTAAAAAAAAGGGGTTTGTTTTTCTTTTTCGTGGGATCGTCCCACTTTTAATTTTTCTTAAAAATAAAGTTATAAATGTATATACTGTATTGAAAAATAAACAATGATATAGGGAACATATAATTACTTAAAGTAACATTTGTCTCTTATAACATTTTGTATGCGTTTATTTCTTAACGTTTTCCTTTCAATTTTATATTTTAATATATTTCTTTAACTTAGTTTTTCTTCATCGTTTTCCTTTCAATTTTATATTTTAATATATTTCTTTAATTTAGTTTTTCTTCATCGTTTTTCTCAATAACTAATACTTAAACTACGCTTTCAATACTAAAGGTAATTTAACTTACCTAATATTTACATAAAAAATAAGTAGCTCTTTATCTAAAGATCAAATTGTTATCATTAATTTTCCGATGCGTCCTGCATCGTTTTGTGTCTTCTCTGAGTTCCTTTTCTTTTATTTTTCTTCTTCTTTCTTTATTTGGAATTTTTATATTCCGAAAAAAATAATCTACAGTATTCAACTACCTCACGAGAAAAAATTGCTCTCATCAAATAATTACACTGCCTTCGGTTTTGCGTTGCGCGCGAACAGATTATTTTGCTGCACGGAAAACACGCAGCTACAGATAACAATAATGACAGAGTGCAATGATGCGTAACCACATAACACAACTCCACTGGCGCACGGGCTTAGAGTATCAAGTTGATTAAAAATGTATAAATTTATATGGATTGTTTAAAAAAAAAGACAAAAGATCAAAATATTAAAAGGAAGGGCCACCAAACATTTTTTTTGGCGAAGGATAATTTATTTTGATATTAACTACCTTCATGTTAGGCGCAGTTTAATTATGCTAGATTTTTTTTAAAAATCATATTTAAAAGGGCACTTTCTTTAAAAGGGGGGGTCGACCGCACCCATCGACCCCCCCACGGTACGCCCCTGCTGAGATATACCTTTAGTAGTTAGGAGGAATTGGGGAAGGCTGAAAACGATTTTTATTGAGCATCGCCGAATCCGCAGCTATAGCTAGGCCTAACCAGCCCAGGGTACAGTGTCAGTAGCAGACACCACGTGTGGTTGAGAGTGAGTGCAATTTAGTCTACCTAAAGGGGAGAGAGAGTACAGCAGTTGTGGCCTTTCGCGGTTGGGTAGGGTCTACAGTTAGGGACGCCTAGGTTTAACAGGTCTAGCAATTAAGGAGCAATTAAATCCTACAGCCACAGATCATTTATATTTTCAGCTGCCACACTTTGGAACCTCCCAAAACATGTTATCGCTCACCTTCAGTTGCTATTTGCTATTTTTAAGACCAATCTCAAAATTCACTTTTAACATTTGAACATGCACAGCGCCATTGATTTTTACTTCGCCGTTCAGTGATATTGGCGCTTTATAAATTATTATTATTATTATTGTGGTTGGTACTCAACGTTCTTATGAAGTACTAATGATAGTAGGTTCGAACCTACGCTGTGAATTTCGCTTGTTCATGACCTTGCCACCACATCCCCACCCCACCTCAAGTGACCATAGCATACAGTATTTTATGCTAGCTACCGCCCAACGACTAATCATCGAGCTTCCATTTCAATGCTCCTAGATATGCCACTGCTCTCTCCACCCACTGAGAAAAATAAATAGTGCACCTTAATTGACCATTGAAATGAAAGTGAGTGTGTAGTCGAGGTGTATCAGGCTCATAATATTAACCAATAAATAATCGTTTGTTGCTCATTTCTATAATATTTTCCCACACTTACGAGTTACTACAGTACTTTGATATTTACTTGGAACCTACACTATATACCTGTATAC